AGTTTTTCTGGCCATGGGATGGGAAAGAGGATGACGCTAGACAGGGAAATAGCATCTTCAAATACATAGCATTGGGCTGTGAGATGACACCAAGATTCTAACCACGGAGAACAAGACAACAAGAAGAGGAGCAAGCATAGGAAAGTGAGAAAAGAGCAGGATATAATGAGTTTAGTTTGGAGCTTGCTGAATTTTAAATGCTTGTGGGTTTTCCAGGTGAAAATGTCCAATCAACAGTTAAATATATAATATAGAGCTGGAGCTTCCAACAGAGGTGATAAGTGGAGATACAGATCTTGGAATCATTGGTGAATGATGGTTAAACCAGTGGAGGTGGCTGAGATCCCCCAGGGGGACATTTAATTCAAGAGGAGCAGATAAGGGAGGATCACACCCTGCAGCACCAACACCAACTAGAAGTCCTGTGGTACAACTAATGCTACCGTTTATCTACATTATGGGGTAAATGGGCTGTTATGAGTTGGCCCAAGACCCAAGCACCATTTATAAAACTTTCTATGTAAAAATGCAGAGTAAGTTCAAGCAACTTACAAAGTAATTTGGGGTCACAAATTGTAAGTTGGAGCTTGGATGTACTTTCTTTTACTTATCCTAAATATACCTTTTACCCTGTGGCTCCTAGTGAAAACCTGCCCACACACTTTGTGTTTTTATTGCATTTGAGAATATCTTCAGCTATACTTGGTATTTCAGGCCTACTTGGTTCATTTGTAACTCAAATATAATGACATCCAACTTTTGCCATTAAAACAGACAAACTTTGAGTGACTGTGGCGTGTCTGTGATGGTGCTAAGTGCTCACTCTTCCCCTCTGCCAATGTGATGGGCCTTTCGTGAAACAATATTGGCGTTAAAGGAGCAATTGCTGATGGTGCCAGGAATATTGATGTGGTGAGACCCTCAGAAATGTCTCTTTCTAAGACCTCTGTGAGATATTACTATTCTATAATTCTTTGTCTAGTTTTTGCTAAAATACATGTGAAGTGATTTTCTGTTTTCCTCTTTTGTTTCAACTCCATTTGAAAGAGTTAAACACTAAACTCTTTCCCCTCTGGTATGTTTAATATGTGTGACTATTATCTGAGACAGAAAAATAATTACTATTTGGCACATAATGACTACACCGTGTCCTCGGTTTTATTCAGAAGGCGCAAAAGAAGGAGTTGCTTCATTCTGTAAGAGCAGCTTTCCACGTTACCTCGTCTTCCAGAGAGAAAGTTTCGGGCACCTGGCACAAATGCCCTCATACCTGTAAGGCGGGCATGATGAGCAAGAAATCAAAGCAAAGGAGTAGTGTGGGAGATCAGAATTGGCTACCCTGAAATATAGCTCTTTACCTTGATTATTTTCTCTGATGGACATTTGACCTCCCCCACTAATTGCCTAAAGGAATTGAACTCCAGTTATGGACAGACTGGCAGGGTCCTCGCTAAGCCCATTCTTATCAAAGTTCTGTTTACCAAGTATTTACATTTGTAAAGGTCTCTCCCTCTGTGTACTGGGAAGAGGGGAAGATGATCTTATCTCTGGAAACTCTTTTTCAGTACGGAAGGAGAGGACTTAAATCTGCACACTCTTGTTTACTGTGCTTTTCTGGTGATCTCCCATAACTGACTCCCCCCACCCCCAACATCCTCCTTTGTCTTTAGCTGAAGATAGTATTTAAGATGAGAACCTCTGCCATTTTGTTGAGAAACTCAGTTTCCCTGGTTTCTCCCATGTATACATGTTATTAAACTTGGTATTATTTTCTCCTGCTAACCTGTCTTTTAATTATTAGGCCAGCCATAAGAACCTTGAGGGAAAGGGCGGAGGGGGATTCTCCCTCTTCCCCAACAGTAGTTAAGTGGTCCAGATTAAGAGTGTTCCTGTCATAGAGCACCAAGCAGGGTTCCTGGAAGACTGCTTGGAAGGGCATTGCATACCTACCTTTGACTTCCTTCTCTGTGCTTGATGCTAACTAGCCCTCTTCTGCCCATACGTTCTTTCTCAACACTAGGCACAATGCGATGAACCAGAACTCTGTTTTCTAAATTACCATCACATTTGAGCCTTGCCTCCCTGAGATGGCACCAAGTCATCTTGATGGAGCATCAAGTCCACCCCAGCTCTTGAGTTACATGTTTACAGGCAGTCTCTTGGTTACTTTCCTGTAGTTAAATACCTATGATTTCATCTGCCTGGCACCCCTGTCCCTTCTCCTAGGATCAGTCACATAATCCTCTATTCCAACCACATAATTCTGTGGACCTGCCAGGCCCATCAGCAGAACTGAAGGACATAAGCTTGCCATCCTCTCTTTCAGAAATAATTGCTTGAAGAGTGAATGCGAGGCGAAAAATTGGAGACAAGAGTCGACTTCTTTGAACTTGTGGATAAAATAATGGAGAAAAGTAGGCTAAAAGCTCTAGGACGGGTTGAGGTCAAAGGAGGATCTTTTGTGTTTTTTGTGTTTGACTTCAAACAAACTGAAAACTTGGTAATCATCCCCGAGTCCTCCCTCCAATCTTTGTCAGACTTGCTCCTCCCCTTGCCAGCACCTTGATTCACGTCTCACTTCTGTTCCTGAATCACTTGAACAGCCTTCAAACCTCCTGCCTCAAACCACAGCCCCTCTATTCTCCAGTTGCTAGAGTGTTCTTTCTAAAATGCAAATCTGATCTTGTCAGTCTCTACTTACAGCCCTATGTGAATTCCTGTTATTCTCTGTCTACCTTTCCAGGCCTCTCTCTCCACTCATCTCCTTGCATAAGACACACTAGCTCTTTACACTCCTGAGTTTGTTGAATGTGCTGTACTCACACCCACCTCTATGGCTTTGCATGTACCATGATTCCTTCCTTATGGAATACTCCTATCAGGGAAGAGGGAGAATCCCCCTCTGCCCTTTCCCTTAAGGTTCTTATGGTTGGCCAAATAATTAAAAGACAGGTTAGCAGGAGAAAATAGTACCAAGTTTAATAACGTGTATACATGGGAGAAACCAGGGAAACTGCATTTTCTCAACACAATGGCAGAGATTCTCATCTTTAATACCATCTTCAGCTAAAGACAAAGGAGGATGTTGGGGGTGGGGAGGGAGATGGAAATCACAGTAATCAAGGGTATGTAGATTTAAGGCCTTATCCTCCACACTGATAAGTTTCTAGAGAGGCCAACCCCCCTCCCCCCAGAGAGGGAGATACCTTTACAAATGGAGATTTCCCTTATAAATGTAAATGTTTGTCTGGCAACTCTTTGCAGGGCCACCTAGAGAATGTGGCCTGGGAGAGAGAATTTTTGATAAGATGGGCTTGCTTGTGCCTTTCCTATTGTAAGATCTATTTTGCATTATATTACAGACATCATATGATAGTAACTCCTTCCTGGAACAGGTCTTCTATATTAAATTCTTTAGGCAGTTTGGAGGAGGTCAAATGTCCATCAGAGAAAATAATCAAGGTAAAGAGATATATTTCAGGGTGGCCAATTTTGATCTCCCACACTCCATCTTCTTCCCTCTGCCTCTTCCTCCATGACCTAACTGTCTCTTACTGGTCCTTTAAGACTGAGCTGAAGTGTCACTTCCTCTGGGAACACTTCCCCGACTCCCTTCCACTTGAATAAATGCACCTTGTATTTTACTATGGTGACACTTATCAAACCATTTTCGAATTCCTTATTAATAGGAAAGCTTGACCTGTGTCCCTGGAGCTCAAGGAGGTATAGAAGCTGATGTCTAACTTTCCTAGAAAAGTTCTAGAGTGAGAGGTGGCTGGGCTTTGCCTCCTGGCCCAGGGAGAAAAGAGGACTTTGGTGGGAGGGGCCTATTCTCCTGGGTTTGGATGGAACAAAGGTGCAGGCTTTCCCTCAGGCTGAGTAGACACTTCAGAAGGTACCTGGGTTTGAGTCATTTGACAGAACCCCAGCCCAAGGGCACTGCTCACCAGGATGAGATGACAATAGAAAGAGTCTACATGGAGTTTGCCATTAGAACGGGGTGATGAGGCCTTTACAAGTAGTCAGCCAATTATTGAATCTCTAGCATCAGAGAGCAGTGTAGTGGGAGATCCATACAGGGGTCCCTGAACACCCTGTATATAGGAAAAGGAAAGCTTTTCACCAAGGCCAGAAAAGTTAAATAACTTGCCCAGGATTTCACAGCTAGGAAGTGACAAAGCTGGGATCTGACCCTGATTCAACAGGATCAGGTCAGTGGGCGGCTGGGCAGGGGTGAGTGGGAGAGACTTCACAGTGGGAGTGAAAACAGGTGAGCAAGATATCAAGATTTCCCGGAAGAGCAGGCGAGGAAGAAAAAACGACATGGGTGCTAACATGTTTTGAAGCTGTAGTAAATATCCCTTACTACAGCTTCAAAAACTTCCATGGCAGAAAACTCCACTACCCAAGAAGTGGGCACATGGCTACTTATCTCCTTTGATTCTTTGATCCTATCAGAAGAGTTTCCTGCTTTGAAGAGTTTCCTTGCAAAACAAAGCCTCCCACATTCTTAATAAATGGCAGGAAACGCAACCTAGGAAGCCCTTAGGCAGGTCTGAAGTCTGGTCACTAAAGAGGCTTGGAGAAACTAGCATCTATTGCATTGTTCACCTTGTTCCTGGAACCATCAGGACTCGGTGATCCACCTCAGTAATGCAACTGTGGCAGGGCTGAAGCTCACACGGAAACAAGTGGAATTTATCTCTGTGGCTGACCAGGGAGCCGCCCTGGAGCAGGCAGACCCAGTCTTTGCAGTATGCCCCCACACATTCCAACTCACCCCCGAGGGCGCCTGCCTGCCTGCTCCCTTTGCAATAATGAGGCTTAAGCAGAAATCAAGTGCTTTAGAGAAACAGCCCTTGACGCCCCCCAGAGTTTTATTTCTGGAGTGGGAGCGGGCTGGGGGTGGGGGAGCAGCCGCGAAGCTTGCAGAGCGGGAGCGCGTCACTGTCGCCGCCAGAGACGCTGCGCTGCCCAATAGGCAGAGGCGGTCGCTCGCAGCCCGGGGGTAGCAGAGACATAAAAGTGCGGATACCAGCCCGGAGCGCGCCGATCGAGGGCTGCAGGCAGGCGGCGAGCGGGCGCCGGGCCAGGGGCTGGGAGGCCCAGGGCTCCCTCCCCGGACAGCCCCGCGCGCTCCTCTCCTCGCGCCCGACTGCGCGCGGCCCGGCGGGGACGTCCGGACTGCACAGTCCCGGGCGCAGTGGCTCTGCAAAATGGTCCTTCACTTCGTGCTGCTCTTCCTCCTCCCGTTGGTGCGAGCCACCGAGCGCCCCGAGGGCAGGGCGGACGAGCAGGTCCTGGAGGCGGCTGTGGCCGTGCCCAACACCTCGCACTTCTTCTCCTGGAACAACTACACCTTCTCCGACTGGCAGAACTTTGTGGGCCGGAGGCGCTACGGGGCCGAGTCCCAGAACCCCACGGTGAAAGCCCTGCTCATCGTGGCTTACTCCTTCATCATCATCTTCTCGCTCTTTGGCAACGTCCTGGTCTGTCATGTCATCTTCAAGAACCAGCGAATGCACTCGGCCACCAGCCTCTTCATCGTCAACCTGGCGGTGGCCGACATAATGATCACTCTCCTCAACACCCCCTTCACTTTGGTAAGGCGGGAGGGAGGGCTGGCTCCCGCCTCTGCCTTTCTCAGCCTCGCTCTCAGCTTTTTCTCATCTCAATTCTCTCCCCTCTCTCAGTCATCTCTCTCTGCACTCGGATTTCTCTTCCTCCTTATTTCTGTCTGTCTCTGTCTCCCTCTTCTGCCTGTCTTCATCTTTCTTAGTCTTTTTTCTCTCTTGCCTTCTCAGCTCTAGTTTCTCATCTCTCAACTCTCTTCTCTGTTTTTCTGTCTCAGACTTTTTCTGTCAGTCTCTGTCTTTCTGTCATTCTGTTTGTCTTTCTGCCTACCTGTCTGTCTGTCTGTCTGTCTCTCTCTCTCGGAAGTCTTTCTCTCTCTCCTCTGTCGCTATCTCTCTGTGTCTTCATCTTTTTTCCTTTCTGTGACTCTGTGTCTCTCTCTCCCTCTCTCTCTCCCTCCCTCAGTCCCTCTCTCTCTCTCTCTCTGAAGTCTTTCTCTCCTCTGTTGCTCTCTCTCTGTGTCTTCATCTTTTTTCCTTTCTGTGACTCTGTGTCTCTCTCTCCCTCTCTCTCTCCCTCCCTCAGTCCCTCTCTCTCTCTCTCTCTGAAGTCTTTCTCTCCTCTGTTGCTCTCTCTCTGTGTCTTCATCTTTTTTCCTCTGTGACTCTGTCTGTCTGTGTCTCTGTCTGCCTCGTCTCTCTCCTCCTCTGTCCCTCTGACTCTTTCTTGTCCATCTCTCTGTGGTTTTGTTTGTTCTCTCACTCTCTCTCATCACCTTCTAAGCCAGAGCTTCTGCAGCTGGTGGCATTGGGGTCAGTGATTGTGTGTCTGCAACCAGCTGTGAACGAGTGACCATTTTCTGTTTAATGTCACTGAGCATGGGCCTGTCTGATAATCAAGCATTAAATTGAAGTCTCTTGAAATGTTGCAGAGATTGTTAGGTCACCCCCCCGTCCCCTGAAGTACAGCCTATTAAATGCCACCCCCCGCCATGGGAGGCTGTTTTGTGCCGCAGCTGAAATACCAAACAATTGCTAATTGTTAATGGAAGCTTAAGTGCATTTTCCTAGACCACTTATTTAAATTGCATTTCTCTTCTGTGGTTTGACAATGAGGCTGTGTATGAGGTCTGTGCTGGGGAAGAGATGAGGGTGAGGTGGGCTTGGGCCCCAGGGGCAGGCGATGAGCCTCCTCCCCAAGCCCTGACTGCCCAGCATTAGTGGTGTCATTTCTGTCCCTCTGTGACTTGGGAGTGTGGTGCTCATAGATGATTTGGGACTGTGAGGGCTATGACTGAGCAATCATAATGACAGTTATACCTTATGTTTCTGTAGCATGAGTTACATTTTTTCAATGTATGGAATAGCCTTATTGTTATTTCAGTTATTACCAAAGCAGCATCTGTTTGTCTCTCTCTCTCTGTGTCTCTCTCTTTCTCTGTCTCTCTTTCGCACACACACACTCAGCCAGAAATAAGAGACAAGCAAAAAAGAACAGGGCAAACCCCCACAAGTCCATTCACTTGTGTGAACGTCCTTCCAAACCTTATATTTTAAAAATACATTCTCTCTCTTGTCCTCACTTATGAGAACATTACTCACATTTTGCAGATGAGGAAACTAAGGCACAGAGGTTCAATCCCTTGTCCAAGGTCACTTGGCTAGTAATTGGCAGAGCCAGGATGAGAATTACTTCCCCAGACTGAAGTCCAGAGGTATGTCCACTAAGCCGTCCAAGCGAGAGGAAGTGGGGGCACTCTTGGACCATGCTAAGCTTCCATTACTCCAAACTGGACTTTTCCTGCTCTCTCTCTAGCCTATGTTTAACTGATTCTTGGCCACTCGGGATCCTCTGGGTACTAGCCAAGGACACAGGGACTTCCAAATACCCCCTCTATTCCCTATACCCCTGCCTATACCCCTGCCTCCTGCTGCCTTGAAGTGCAAAAGAGTGCATCTTTGGCTCTCCTTGGCTTCCCCCTTGGTTTCTGACCTGACAGTCTGCAATGTTGGGGTTGGGCTGGGCCACCCACGATGGGTCCTGGAGGGCCCCAGGGCATGGCCCTTGTGCTGCTGCCCAGAGCAGGATGCACAATTAGATCTGCAGCAGACACAAGGGGTGTGCGGAGAGAGGCCATGGACCCCTTGCCAGGCTGCAGTGAGAGCTGACAACTCCTGCCCCGGAGAATCTCCTGTGAGAGAGGGGATGTCAAGGTCCTGAGAACCTAGCACCCCTTCCAAGATGATCCAAAGCAGCTTGGCCTTGAACCTGACCCATGTAACTGCCCCAATCCAAACTCCTGTCAGAGCTTACAAGGTGCTGGCGACCGGGGAGAGTGAAAGGGTTGCGGAGGGTGGGGGCTGTCTTCCAAGCCTTCAGCCAAGCTTCCCGACTGGGAAAGGAGTCCTGCATCCGGGCTGGCTGGTGACAATGTCCTTCTTCCCTGGTCTCCCTTCCTGTCTGCTTTACACACAACAATCAGCCCAAAGTCCAGCTCTGGTCATTGAGAGAAAAGCGATTACTTACAATTCCCATAGCAGAGACATACACAGAGTGTGGTGGAGGAGGAGTCATTCATTCTGACCTGCCAGAGTTCCACGAGAGGGTCAAAGGAGACTGCACAAAAAACATGACATTTCAAAGGGGCCTGGATGAGTAGGAATTTCCCAGGTCAAGATGAACACTCGATGCAGACAGAAGGACCTGGGAAAACAAAGGCAGGGCATCAAAATTCAGGACGTGTTGGGAGAACGTTGGGTGGCAAAATTTAGGTGGAGCAGCAGAGGCAGGAAGCACAGTTAGGGAGCGGGCAGGGGAGGGAGAAGCCGAGGTGGGCCAGAAAGGAAGGCTGGGGCCAGGTTGTGAACGGGCCTGGATACTCCTAAGGCACTTGGCTCTGTCCTGAGGGTCATGATGATTCTAAGCAGAAAGGTGACAACAACCTGATTTGGCGTTAAGAAAAATACTGTCAGCACTGTGAAGGCTGAATTACAAATGGACAAGACTGGAGGACGAGGAAAGCTTTTAGGAGGCTGTAGTGGTCCAGGTGTGAGATGATGGAGGACTCCACTAGGGCCATGGCCTTGGGACTGAAGAGGAGGAAATGGATTTGAAAACCATTTAGAGATAGAGCTGATTGGCTTTGGTAATTCATTGAATGTGGGAGATGAGAAGTAGGAATAGCTGAAGATTTCTAGCTGTATAATGTTACCAGACATTACTCTATAATGTTAACTGGACTGCTCAAAAGCCTTGTATGGCTCCTGCGTGCCTACCCCATAGAGAGTCAAGTCCATTGTCTGCTGTCCTAGTTTCATGGTCTGGCCAGACTTGTCCCTCATGATTCTCTTCCACACACTCCAGCCAAACCATTCCACTCCTTATTCCCCAAACAGGTCCTGGGATTTCTGACCGAGTGCCAAGCTTTTTGTTATCTCCACCTGTACAAATCCTACCTGTTCTCTAAAGCTCATCTCAAATGTTTCATGTGTTATAATAATGGCAGTTAGTAGTGTTAAGTACTTGCTTTCTAATAGGCATTGTTGTACCTACTGCACATATGTTATCTCTCATTCGATTTTCATAACAACCACGTGAACAGGGTTGGCTCCATTTTACAGATGAGGAAAGTGAGGCTTATAGAGCCTAAGAGCCTTACCCAAGGTGACAGCTGTAAGTGGCAAATACTCTGATGTGAACCACTACATGATACTCTTTCTGTAGGGCTGCCTGCTCTGTTTCTTTTTCTATCATCTCTCTCTCTGCCTAAGCTCACACCCACCACACTTGGTGGCCTCAGTGCCCTTCATTTGGGCCTTCTGTAGGGCATCGAATACTTCCTGTCTTGCATACCTGAGTCCTCCTCTGCCTGGACTGGAAGCTCCTTGATCAGAATCGATGTTCAATCTCTCTCCGACTTGGGACATTACTCACAGGAGCTGCTCAAGCACTGAGTGAGCAAATAGCCACGGATGATGTGGGATGAGGCCTAGGCCTGCTTCTAGGGCCCCACACTGTCCTGGGAGATTGTCTTCTCTCCCTACCCTGCCACCCTGCCCCACCCACACCTTTCCAGGCCCCTGGGTCTCCTTCCCAAACGATGTGTTGCAAGGCCTGCTCAGCCAGCATTCAAGAGCACAGCCCACATGTTATGTTGTGAATTTTCAGATGTGTCTCCCCCATTAGTCTGAACTCATATGGGACAATGAATTTTATTATTACCATAAAAATAGCTACTATTTATTTCAAATAATATCTTTCTGGCAATCTGCCAGACATTGTGCTCCTCCCTTATAGACTTTTAGAAAACTTAATCCTTACAATAAGCCTACAAGGTAGAGATTTTTAAGCCTTTTTTTGCAAATGAGGAAAGTGAGGTTCAGAGAGGTTACGTACCTTGTCCAACGTCACACAGCTAGAAACTATTAGAGCTGGGAAGTCCAACTGCAAAGCCCACATCCTTCCCACACCCTCCTGGCACCTAACAGAGCCTGGCCCCAGCATCATGATTAGGATTTGTTGAACTGAATGATCGAGAATGAGTCCTGCTGGAGAAAATCAGGTGTGACCACAATTCAGCAGTGTAGAGTGGAAGAAGGGAGGAGCTGGAAGAGGCCTCCTGAGGGACGCTAGTGGGAGGCCACAGAGGGTAGGTGTCGGGGTCAAAGCCCGTCTGTCTCCTGACCTCTGTGGGCTCGTCTCCAGGTCCGCTTTGTGAACAGCACGTGGGTCTTCGGGAAAGGCATGTGCCACATCAGCCGCTTCGCCCAGTACTGCTCACTGCACGTCTCAGCGCTGACGCTGACGGCCATTGCCGTGGACCGCCACCAGGTGAGGCCACCTACCCCCAACACCCTGTCTTTTCCTCTCTGGCTTTGCTTTCCAGGGGGCTGCAGAAGCTCTCAAGACAATGTTTTAGCCCATTTTCCAATGAGGGTGTTTGTCTTCTCATTGGCCAATATGACCACTTAGATGAGGCATATTATACCCTTTGTGCTAGGTGCTGCAAAAAATTATTCACAGTTTGTTGTTCTGACAAAGACTCGCTGCCAGCATTTTGTGTCTCAAAAAGTAATGAGCTTGTTTTGGGAGCAGAAAAAGCAAACCTGGAAAATCACAGATGAAAAGAGAGTGGCAAATAATTGCAGGTCAGAGACAAGGCTCCAGACTGGGTGATGGATATTTCGTGGCCCAAGCTGTTGAGGAGGAAGACAAGTGAGGGTGTCCAGGCGGCAGGAACAGGCTGCATGGAGGGGCAGGAAGGCCCCACTCACTGTACTGCTCCACTGGACGCACATGGGTGGGTATGGGGAAGGGAACCGAAGGGGACCTGAGGGAGCCCTTCCTGGAGGAGGACCGTTGCATGGCAGGCACCTTGTGCATGCTAGCTCAATGAACCCGTGTTGTATATATACTTCTATGCTGAGTCAAGGGATGGAAGCTCAGAAAAGTGCATATGTAGCTTTCCCAAGATCACATGCCTGGTGAGTGATGAAGGTAGCATTAGGACCAAGGTCTGTCTGGCTCCAAGCCCATGCTCTGATCACTATACCACCTGCTCTGAGAAGACTCGAGGGCGCCTACAAGACCAGTGTCATAAGGACACCAGGACAAAGAGAGAGAGAATTTATTCTGAGTAGCTCCAAAAGGTGCAACAAAGACCAGGGATAGGAGGCTTCAAAGATGCAGATTCACAGATGCAGCTCAATGTGAAGAAGGATTTCCTAATAGACAGTCGGAAGGTGGACAAAGCTGCCTGGAGAGGTAATGAGTTACATGTCGCCAGCCATATTTAAGCAAGGTCTGGATGATCACTTGATAGGAATGTTCTAGAGAAGATTGATGCATCTGGTAGGGAATTGGACTTGGCAAACTTTGAGATCACTTTATCCCTGAAATGCCATCATTTTGGCATTTTTATTACAGATGCTTTGGTGCAAAGTGTGAAAAGTTTGCATACAAATGATTCTTGCCTTTTCTTAACCTTCTCCCCTAATTCAACAAGAGGGACTCTGGATTACCTTTTCCTGGCCTATGCTTACCTCCGTTTAAGACAGCTAACTGAGAGTTGACCCTTGGGCCAAGGGTGGGTCTGAGGAAGAGGGGCTAAGTCTTGCCCACATATGTCACAGCGTTACTGTGACATATACCCAAATATGGGGCCCTGTCCCAAAGCCGGCAGAGTCTTTGAGTGGTGTGTGGGGCCTCTGACCCAGGCTTCCACTTCCTTCACCAACCTGAACAATGAAGGAGTATTAGGGGCAAAGATGACCAAGTCCAGAATGGAGATGTGCTGGGCAGCTTCTAAAGCTTAGTCACTTCTTCCTGTAAAACCATGAAAAAATGGGAAGAAAAATTTAGGAGGAAAAAAACCAGTCCTCAGGACACAGCCAGCATGTCCAATGTGTCCTGGGATGGCATCCTGAGGAAGTGGCAGCTCTTTATGACCTCTCTCCCTGACCTTGGACTCACCTGTCCCAAAATGCCTTTTCCAAGAAATAGTGATTCTAATCTTAAAATGAGGATGCTGTTAAATTTCCAAGTCTTTATTTAAACTTTTTTGGAGAATTGATTGGCATACACATACAGTAGCAATTCCAAGATGCTTTTCAGCCTGAAGCCTGTAACACTGGCTTTATTACAGGCGTGGGAAAGCTGGGCCCCATTGCAATTTTAGAAGCGGCTTTCATAAACAGTGTTGTGAACCCCCATGACAGCTTCCCATGGTAAGTGGTGAGTCTCCTCTCCATGTTTGTCTCACCCTCTCGGAGCCCTTCATAACTTAAGGAGTCTAGAATCTTGGGGAGATGAGATTAGATCCTGCCCGAGGTGGAGGCTGACCGTGGCTTGTTCTTCTGCCAGCCTTGCTGTGGGTGTCATACAAGCAGACCCCCTCCTACTCCCCTCCTCCCGGCTTCTTACTGCACTCTGGTTCTGCCATGAATGACCTGCAAGAGGCATTTGAACTGCCTGGAGCTCTGAGTCCAGACGACACCCTCTTTCTGCTCCTGGAGGTGGGCTGTGGGGTGGGGCATGGCTGGAACCCCCCCACCTGCCTGGTGCAGCTCAGGGCTCAATAATGAGTGTAAGGGGTGCTCGACTTTATAAATAGGACCTACCTGCTTAATTGTGACAAGTGAGCTGCGTCGTCTGGATTTCTCATTTGTTTCAAACTTCTTCAGCCAATGATACACAGTTTGCTTGTTTTCCAGGTCATTATGCATCCGTTAAAACCCCGGATCTCCATCACAAAAGGTGTCATCTATATCGCAATCATCTGGACCATGGCTACGTTCTTTTCACTCCCACATGCCATCTGCCAGAAATTATTTACCTTCAAGTACAGGTGAGATTAACTAGGAGGGAGCAGCCTGGGGACTGGGAGGACCTTGACAGAGGGAAATCTGAGCCTCTCTGAATCTCAGAGTTATAGTACCTGCCATACCAAGCCGTTCTCTCTGCCTCTCTCCCAACCTGTTGTTTCCAGGCCTGTGCCTGTCCTCTGCATTTTTTCTGCTTTTTCTTGTCTTTTCTTCTCAACAGCTTTAGCTCCCTCCTTATTCTCTGTCCAGTTTGTCTGCAAGGTCAAGGCAATAGCGATCAGCTATTGTCACTGTCACTGGGGGCATGTAGTCACAAAGACTAAGGCTCAAAATCACCCAGGCCTTATTTAACATGGCGATGTTTAAATTCTCTTGCACAACCTACAGACCAAACGTGTGTATCTGTGTGTCTGCAGCAGGATGCTCTGTCTCCTCCTCCTGCCCATTCAGGTTTCTTTGTCTTGTGCTCTCAGAATAAGAATTTCTTTCAAAGCACTCAGTTGTTTTTAAACACTTGTGTGTGCTACCAGTTCATTAAAGGTGCTCTCCCCGGCTAGACTGTAAGGTTGGGGAGAGCTGGGCGGTTTCTGATTTTGCTACCTTGGTGTCCCCAGCACCTGACTTACTGTCTCCACATACCAAGCCCTCAGCATGTATTTACTGAATGAATGAATGAGCTTAGAGTGATTTTTGTCAGTTCATAGTTGTTTTAGGTGAGGTTCCTTAGAAACAGACCTGAGATAAAAGAAAGTACCCGTACCCCTATTAAGGAAGTGCTCCCAGGATACTGGGTAAGGGAGTGAGGAGGCAGACAGAGAAACCAAGGCGGGAACGGTAAGGTTTCTGGGAAGCTGCAGCCTGCTCCACAGGGGGCTCTGGAGCAAACTGATTTTGTCTGTCTCTGGCAAGGGAGCTGGGCTTACATATTCCAGGCCTCCCTGGGAAAACGGATCTCTGGGCCACTTCTGGCTCTTGGTGGATCTGTGGGAAGCGTATTCCGCAGCCCGAGGGTAGTCCTAGGCACCTAGAAGACCACAGTGCCAGCTGTCTCATGCAGGGCGGCAAGAGTTGGGGGACTGGTGTCCAGACCAGTAAAAGGTGTCTGAGGGGATCTAGGGGGTGCTAACGTGTCCTACAGTAGCCATGCGCTGCCCCACCTGAAACATCCACTTACCCACACTCCTGTGACTTCAGTGGGGTCCAGAGAGCAAGCTCTGAAGGCCGACGTCAACTCACTTACAAAGGCTCCCTCCCTGAGTTCTAGGATATTGGAAGGAAGCACATACCCGAACACCCCAGCATTCAGACTCCCCATCTGCCTTCAGACGTGGAGGGCTATTTTTTTTTTCTGATAACAAAAGCAAAGAGAGTTCTCTTTCTTTCACTAGTGATGGCCACTAGCACATATAACAAGAGCCACAAGCCACATGGTGTGATGAGAAAACAGCCATTTGAGTTGCTGCCTAGGCATGTGACAGCATGACAAGCCTGCTCACACCCAGAGGAAGCAGCTGAGCTTAGGATTCCCGCCTTGCTTTTCCTGGGGCACCTTTTAAAATGACCACACAGAGTTAAGCCCGTGAAAAGTTAGTGACTGCCGCCCCAACTACCTTATAAGTAATAGGTGCTTGTTACCCTGCTCTCTATCTCCTGCTCCCTCGTGACCTGGGACGGAGGACTGACCTTCCCTGGCTCATTGTGCCCCTATTCTGAGATCTCTAAGGAATAAATCTTGTGACTTTACTTCCTTTGTGTGAGTGTGTTGAAACTGCACCTTCAGTCGAAATGGCCCTGGGGTTTTTACTTCCCCAAAGTGGGAATTCTGACACTGAGGAAGCTACCTGCCCACCCCGTGTGGGTGGCTTATGCCTCCTCATTCAGCAGGTCATAATCTGCACATTCTTAACACACTAGCTCCAGGTTTTCCAACACACAAAGATATCCCTAAAAAGCTTGACGAGGACTGGGTACATTCCAAAGAAAATGAATACTTGTTATATGAGTGGCTGAAGTATGTTAGTTCAGGTGTAGCCGCTCACGTTGTCAAGACCCATCAATCCTCAGTTCCCCTATGGAATGGGAGTGAGTAGTACAATGGGGAATTCCAAGATTTCCTGAATGCACTGTGCTCCCAAGATGAGTTAATTCTAAGACCTGTGTTTCATTCATTCATTGAACAAATGTTGATTGGATCTCTATTATGGGCTAGGAAAAATACAAGGTTAAGAAGACACGGAGAGATCTAGGTGTATTCCTTATCTCTATGGAACTCCCAGCCTAGGGGGGAAGCCAGAAATGTAATCAGATAATTAGGCTACAGCATGAAAAGTGCTCTGACAGACGGACGTACCAGGAGCCCAGTGGAGAGAGAGGCCAGTGCTTCTTGGGATGAGGCCTTTCCACACTAATTGCACACCCTCCTTCTGTCTATCTGTCTGTCTGTCTCTTTCCTTATCTCTCTGTCTCTCTGTCTCTCCTGCCCCCAGTGAGGACATTGTCCGCTCTCTATGTCTGCCAGACTTCCCTGAGCCAGCCGACCTCTTCTGGAAGTACCTGGACTTGGCCACCTTCATCCTGCTTTACATCCTACCCCTCCTCATCATCTCTGTGGCCTACGCCCGTGTGGCCAAGAAGCTGTGGTTGTGCAACACAATCGGCGACGTGACTACGGAGCAGTACCTGGCCCTGCGGCGCAAGAAGAAGAAGACCATCAAGATGCTCATGCTGGTGGTGGTCCTCTTTGCCCTCTGCTGGTTCCCCCTCAACTGCTACGTCCTCCTGCTGTCCAGCAAGGTCATCCGCACCAACAATGCCCTCTACTTCGCCTTCCACTGGTTTGCCATGAGCAGCACCTGCTACAACCCCTTCATCTACTGCTGGCTCAACGAAAACTTCAGGATCGAGCTGAAGGCATTACTGAGCATGTGCCAAAGGCCATCCAAGCCTCAGGAGGAACGACCACCGTCCCCAGTCCCTTCCTTCAGGGTGGCTTGGACAGAGAAGAGCAATGGCCGGAGGGCTCCACTAGCCAACAACCTCCTGCCCTCCTCCCAACTCCAGTCCGGGAAGACAGACCTCTCATCCATGGAGCCCACTGTGGCAACGAGTTAGAGGAGAGTGGGAAGAGGCAGGAGGAGGGCTGTGTCTCCAGCTGAGGTTAGGAAAGGGCCTAAGGTCAGAGCCTGTCCTCTCACACATGACCGTCACAGTGCTGGAAGTAAGTTTCTGCAGAAGCCATAGGACTCTTGAGTTTCTAGGAAACTCTTCCCAGTCTCCTAGCCCCATTGATGTGAAAACTAAAAGGCAACTAGCAATTCGACACATGTTCATGAATTCCTGTTTAAGAAACACTTCAAGGCATATCATCGCGTGTCTCTGAGCCAGAGAACCCCCGACAACTTCAGCCCAAATGGGGGCTGAGTCAGTCAACTGTCTCTAGCTGTCAGGCAGCCAGCCACCTTACAACCCTTCCTGCCACTGAGCATCCATAAAGGACACCTGAGTCATGCTTTGGGCGTGGCTGACCCAGATGCACGGAGCTCTGCTTGATAAAGGTTCACTGGCCAGTGAAAGGTTAGCAAGCCAGAGCTGGCAGGGAGGTTTCCGTGCCTCAATTTCTGAAGTCATTGGACCACGATGAATCGCAATACATGATACATGACAAGAAAGGACCAATTTGGGTTCTTTAAAACAAAGAGGAATTACTAGGTTTCCTTAAAACAAAGAAAAATTATTATCAAAACCTTGGAAAATTCAGAAAAGCACAAAGAAGAAAATAAAAACCACCACTTTATCTCACCAATTTGTGATAAGTTCTGTTCACATGCTGTGAATTTATTTGCAACTTTTTCCTTTGCGTGTGTGTGCGTGTGTGTGTGCACATGTGTGTGAATGTGCTTTTCATTTCATTATGAATTGCACTTCTCCATTTAGAGATAAGCAAAAATCAGGGACATAGTGGAGAACTTCTGAGCCCCTCTCCGGAATAGTTGGAAGAGATAGGAGAGGAACCCAAGGAGAAGACAGTCATGGAGCCAACAGACTGCCTTCATCTTGTAGCCTGTGGTGGGAAGAGCCTGGCTGAAGCACTTCTCCTCAGATGGCACCCATCGTGATGAGCCGGGGATCAAAACTCATGCAGGAGGCATAATTCCTTCTCTCCTGCAATCTCACAGAACAAGAGGTAGTAAAACATTGCCCTGCTTTCACAGGAGATGAGGGAGCAGGCTTTCCAACATGCTGGAAATAATTGTGCTTGGACACCTCATCCTCCCAAGCTGTCTAGACAGGCCAGTCCTCTGTGTTGTCTGAATAATAAGGCTTCTTCACGCCAGTTCCCTAAAGATGATTCTGTCAACATCACTGTCAACTCTGGTGGCTCACACGTCATCTACAGAAACCTATGGCATTGTGATATTCCTTAAGTACTCCACTTGCCAGAGAAATCTCATTCCCAGAGACCGAGTGTTTTCATCACCTTCCATCTGGTCCTGAGTGACTCACTGTGTCACCCAGAAGAGAGATGCATCAGGCAGAATGGAGCTTAATTCACCAGCCCTAAACAATTTTCACCATCACACTGCTTTTAGGTTCTTTCTAGCACCAGATAGATCCTGAAAGCAAAGCACAGATATGGAGCTGAGTGGAAAACTGAGGTGCGGGGAGAAGGGGCTTGTCCAAGGTTCACTTTGATCTCTTGGCTATTAACTGAACTTGTTCACAACATCTTCTTCCCTATAATGAACCATAGAGGTTCATTATACTATTCTATGTATGAGGGTGTTTGAAAATTTTCAGGATGCAAAGTTTAAAAAAATCATCTTCTGAACAGCAGGTGAAAAAGTGACTTTCGTGAGGCTGAGAGAGCATTCTAAGTCCATACGGATCCCCAGGTGGATTTTTCAGGCCAAATGGCTCCCATGTCTGTGCCTGTTGTCTCTGTGGTGTCGAGAAGTAGCTAATGGTTTCGTCTTAATACTGTCATGGAAATTGTATGAACCAGAAAGAAAACAGGCAGCAGGAAACACAGTAAGTTTGTCCTGTTCTAGAATCATGGGGAAAGCTTCACTTTGCTCCTCTCTGAGGGCATCTAGAAATACTGCCAAATCACAGAGAAGGCCTGGGGGAGGACCCACTGATGGCCATTAAGTCTAGGTCTCCTGTCAGAACCTTGTCTGCCCCCGTCCCATTGTTCCCTGTGAGACTCAGAGCAAAAAGTGATTTGTATTTGTGAATGTGAAATTTGTGAAACTTGAGTCTTTACAATGTGCTGTAATCAGTACCTTATTGTAAATTGCTCCAGTCTCAATAAAATATATTTTGGGTGTGTGGACTGTGCTTCTGAACTTGTGATTAGGCCACAGTTGGTAACCTTTAAAATGGGGATCTACACGGACTAGAGAGAGAGCATGGAGATCATGTGCTCACACCCCTGCACTTGACAGGTGAGGAAGTGCAAACACTGAGAGGGTGGACAGCCGGTTGAAAACCTCAGACTCTTGGTGTAGTGCTTCCTCTTGTGAGCTGGCTGTCAAGTCCCCTCTTTTCTGATTATGAGTCTGTGCTGAGCGTTTTAACCTGGGGCTCCATCTGTTCGTGGTGATTCAGGAGGAGGCGAAGCTGCCACTCAAGCCTAGAGAGCAGCTCTCCCACTCGCAGTGTGTGTGGGGGTGCGCCTCTGCCAAGTCAGAGGGAGAAGGTCAAATACCGTATGATTTCCTTCATTAAGTAGTAGATAATAACAACAATAAACAAACACATAGGGACAGAGATTGGATTGGTGGTTACCAGAGGGGAAGGGGGGAGGGAGGAGGGTGAAAGGCACAATTCGGTACATGTGTGTGGTGATGGGTTGTAATTAGTATTTTGGTGGTGAACTTGTATTCTATGCAGAAATAGAAGTACAATGATGTACACCTGAAATTTTTACAATGTTATAAACCAATGTTACTGCAATAAAAAAATTAAAAAAAAAAGGATAGACATATAAATAAATGGAACAAAATAAAAAATCCAGAAATAGACCCATGTAAAAAAAAAAAGAAAGAAAAAATGAAAGGCGTAGGTGAAGGAGAGGGTAACTAAGACTTGCTGATGCCTCTTTTGTGAGCCGCTATGCTAAATGCTTCTGAGCTCCTGAGCTCATTCACCCTCACAACAATTCTCTGAGGTGGGCATTGTTATTTCTCCTTTGCAGGGGAGGAAACTGAGGCTCAGCTAAAGATCAAAATTGGGAAAATGGTACCTTCTTGGAGATTATGTTTGAGAGGCATATAGAAAAGAATCTTGGGCCGGCCCCGTGGCTTAGCCGTTAAGTGCGCGCGCTCCGCTGCTGGCGGCCCTGGGTTCGGATCCCGGGCGCGCACCGACGCACCGCTTCTCCCGCCACGCTGAGGCCGCGTCCCACATACAGCAACTAGAAGGATGTGCAACTATGACGTACAACTATCTACTGGGGCTTTGGGGGGGAAAATAAATAACTACAAAAAAAAGAAAAGAAAGGAATCTTAATTTGCTTTTAATCCAATGTTCTACAAATTTCCTTGACTGTGAGACACTTTTTTGGGTAGAAAACTATTAACTGTCTTAAAAACCAGTTCTTGAGTGACATGCTTTGGGAAATGCTTGACTAGGTGGGCCTCAAGGCCCCCTGCAGCTCCGTGGTCAATGAATCCATGGTTCTAGTACAGGCAGGATCTCATGCTGACTTGTGAGCTGAGTTCTGGTTAGAAGCATCTTCCAAACAAGCTCTAAGTGACTCCCAGATTGCTGGTGCCCTGCTTGACTGACCATGGCAGGCTGCCAAGGCAAGCTGCTGTCTTATAGCCAGCTCAGGCCTGAGGGGCCGCAGATAGCACAGGCAGACCTCAGCTAAACTCTCACGGCTCCAAGCTGGTTGCTACCTGCCTCCAGGGCCTCTGTGCTGCTGTGCAAGCTACAGGCTATGGGGGAACAAGAGCCGTGCCAGACTGTCTGGGCCAGGGGCAAACCTGAGAAGACTGGGGGGTTTTGGAGCATCCACTGGGGAAACATGCTTGTCTTAGTGTGTCGCCTGAAGATGCTAGATGGTGCTGCTAACGCTGTAGGATCAGGTCTTCAGCATAAATTGCTTTGGCATCTCCCCCTACCATACACATACCCTTCTCTCTCATTTCAAGGAGTAGTTAGGGAAGGAACAAATAAGATACATGCAATGCTGGATGCATTGTGAAAAAAAACCCAGAAGTATTTCATGTGAGAAAGCCCTGGGGTTCAGCTTCCTTTCTGAGAATAAGCTTTTTGTAACGTCTCTTGCTGAGAACAAGCTACTTGCTGCTTCATGAGGATGAAGTGCTTGATGTTAACATCCCCTCCTCTCCTCCTATTCCTAGTCTAGCAGGGACCCTGTCCTCAGACTGCTCATGAATTTCAAGGGCTCAGCTTAAGTACAAAGAAAGCAAAGGAATCATAAATATAAGAGTCAGGATATTGGTTACCCAAATGGAGGAGAATGGGTATGGGATGGCATTTAGGGGGGGTGGGGACCATGTGGTTATAAATAATCATCAAGGTTCTAGTTTTGTTTTGGGCAGTGAGTTCACAGGTGCTTATTACGTGATTAAAAATAACTAATCAGGCCGGCCCCGTGGCTTAGCGGTTAAGTGCGCGTGCTCCACCGCTGGCGGCCAGGGTTCGGATCCCGGGCGTGCACCGATGCGCCACTTGTCCAGCCGTGCTGAGGCCGCGTCCCACTTACAGCAGCTAGAAGGATGTGCAGCTATGACATACAACTATCTACTGGGGCTTTGGGGGGAAAAATAAATAAATAAATAAAATTATAAAAAAAAAAACGAATCAAATAACTAACCAAATAGCTAAAAGCAGGTGATACCTGGACCAACATTAAGAGTGTGCCATAAACCAAGGATTATGATTAATCCCATTCTGTGTCTCTGCAGTCTATAAACAAAAATTGACCAATAGAAATGGAGAGCTGGATGTCCAAGCCTTCACTTTTCTTCCCTGCACCCTTTCAATCAAGTTACATCTATGTCTGTGTTATTAAAACAGGCCAGTAGAGTTCACTGCCGAGACAAGTAGGATATGACAATTATATTTCCTTTAAAAGAAAAAAAAGCTTTGTTTTTCTGGAAAAACTTGCCTCTTTGTGTCTTTGTTTAATTTTCTACATCACTATCGCTAATTCTTTCCTGATTTTTCAAAATAGTTAAAACCCCTTGTGGATGTGACCACGTACATCAAATGTTCTGCCTGCGCTCCTCCTGCACACCTCCTGACGCCTCCACCCTGGACTAGCTGATCTCTTTGTCTGCAGAACACTTGCTCTCCCCAGACTCTCCTTCTCCTCTCCCCAGTGATTAGATCTTCCAGTTTCCTAGATCCCTACCTTCCTCTTTTTTTGTTTACACCATTATTTTGGAAGACCACATCTTCCAGCAGTTGCCCAAGAAAAGGTGCATAAGAGCTAATTTCTTTTGAGACTTTGTCTGTCTGGAAATGCCTTTAATTTAAACCCCACGTGTAATTAGTATTATGTCTGAATATAGGATAATAGGTTAAAAATCATTTTCTCTTAGAATTTTGAAGGCATTTGTATTCATTTTCT